TGCTACCAGGAGATGGCGTCACAGTTTTCAGAAATTCAAAAGATATTCCCAAACATATAATTTAAAATCAAAAGGATTTTTTTGGCCTAGTTTAAAGGGTAGTATATTAAAAATAGTGTAAAATTACACTCCTGACCTTTGCTGGCCTTTGCGCTGGAACACACTCGATCGTAAACTTGCAGCTCACTCTGCAGTGAGTGGATGAGCTCCCTGCTCTCACACAGCTGCTGCTGCAGCAGACAAACCTCATGCTGGAGCCTGAAGAAGAACATAAACAAACACTGTGAGGTCAAGTGACACAAACAGGGCTGAATTTAGATGCTCACCAAGGCACCAACCTGTTGGTTCTCTCCTGACTGTCCTGTCTCTCCTGCCTCAGTGTGTGTATCTGCTGTCCCTGCTCCTGACTATGAGTCTGAAGGCGTCTCAGCTCCTCCTTCCACTGCTCGGCCTCCAGCTCTGCCTGCTTCAGACGGGCCCGTGCTGTAAACACGGCCTCCCGCAACTGCACAACCTCCTCACACGTGTCTGAGGGACGAGGAGAGTCCACATGAGTTAACACACATACTCCAGAAGAAAACTTCAGTTGGATTTCAGATACCGCACCTGTGTTGGCCTGCAGGCGTGACTGGAGACCCAGGTTTTCTTGCTTCAGCAGTCTGATCTCGTTGGACAGTTGAGTGACTGTGTCCAGTCCCTGAATGTAGATGTTTGTTGGTGCCCCTGGACAAAACACAAGGAATGTGATGTCATCTCTTAGAGAGAAAGAAGTGATCATGTTTTTGAGTAGGAGGGTTATTGTACCTCCATCTCGCCCGCTGCTGGCCAGTCTCTCTTCCAGCTGCTGGCGGAGCCTCTCATTTGTCCTGATGGACTCCTCCAGACGCTGACGGAGACACCTCACCTCCCGCAGGTGCTCCTCTATCAAATTTACTCCTGGAGACAAGCAGAGGAAATTATGAATAGCCATTCCACAGTCCAGAGGACCAGAGGTGACCGGGTCAGGTAAAACTCTTTCTCCTCTTTCAAATCTTTCTTAAAGACACATTTGTGCTTCCTCAGGAATTTTAACCAAGTCCTTATCCTACTATTTTAATAATTTTATGTTTTATTTTACCTTTTTTATTATTATCTCATTTGTAATTTTGTGTTTTTGAATTTGTGCTCTAATACTGTGTGTTGCGCAAATTGCACATTGCTAACTGTGATTTTAAAGGTGCTATACAAACATTATTATTATTATTATAAATCTTATTATTATTTACAATTATCTGCTATGATGATTATACAGAGCAGACAAAAAAAATCAATTGAACATCACTTGTTCCCACCCGTGTGGCTGCTTCCTGGCTGGTGCCCAGATGATCCAGGATAGCTTCCAACTTGCTGAACCATGTTCTCCATTCCCCACAAAGTCCCGCCTGACACTGGACCTGAGTCAGATTTAAGAGAGAGGCCTACAGGGATGCCACCCAGCTGGTGCTGTTGAAAGGCATGATGGGAAAGCAGGCTGTAGCTGGAGAGGTCATGTTGGTTGTGGACACCGGGTAAGGGGGTGAACAGGGTCTTGTCATGAGGATGTGCAAAGCCTGTAACCATAAACACACACATTAGAGTGAGACCCTTTCATTAAAGCACTAGAGAGGATTATGAGACAGAGCTTACACACAGTTGAAGTTGTGAAAGTCTTTAATTTATAATTTAGAGATACATTTCACACACTCTCCCTGGCCCCTCACCCCTGTTCTGCTCATTCATCTGTTTGTACAGCATGTCGAGCTCTGGGCGAACAGCGATCACAGACAGGGCCCTGGGCCAGGGGTCGGAAGGGAAATCCTTACCCCAGACGTCAGGGCCAGGGGGGACAGGGAGGAAGGGGGAAACAGGTTCACTGAACAGGGCTGGGGGAGAATGACAGGAAGTGATGTGTAACATGGAAGAAGAGGAGGAAAAGATCATCTTTTTGTCTGTGAGTCCCATACCTCTGGAGGTCTGACTGGTCAAAGCCACAGGGGCAGAGCAATGCATGTTGGGACAGCTGCTGGAGGACTTGAGGAGGCCATGAGGAGGAGGGAAAGATGGACGGACTAGAAGAGGGGGAGTGGAAGGTGAAAGGATAGAAGAGGTATGTTCACACAGAGGGAGAAAGAAAGATGGAACTTACTGTCTGGTTCTGATCCGTGTCCTGGCTGCTGCAGCCGATGCTCCTCCTGATACTCTCTGCCATCAAAATCCGAGCACAGCTCCAAATCCTCATTGGTCCTGCACTCATCGGACACCAAGGAGGTCCTGTCTGTTTGGTCAGTGGTCTCGGAGAGGGCGTGGCAGCTGGACGGGGTCTCAGGACGCTCCTGCAGCTTGGTGTGAAGCGACTCGATGATTTTATCTTTCTGCTGCAGCTCTTTACTCAGCCTGAGGATGAGAATCAGATATAATAATAATAATAATAGCAAAAACAAGAAGTAACATCATTACATTTACTTCACTGTAAATTTAGGACAGAACATTTTATGGAGCTTTACAATTTGTATTTTATTATTAAGAATTGTGAAATCCAGAGCTGTAATGATTTGTTAATTCATCAATTAGCTGATACATTTAAATGATTCTGAAACAGTTTTGTTAATCAAATAAGTGGTTTATTGTAATAACAGGTATTTTTTAAAAACTGCTGGTTCAAATTCCTTAAAAGTGAGAGTTCGATGCTTTTCTTTGTCACATGATACTACTTCTTTGGATTGTTGGTCATGTAAAATAACATATGACATAAGGTATGAGATGACACATCAAGACACAAAACAACTAATGCATTATCAATTTCATCCATTTTACATTTTAAAAACTGTTGTATTAATCTCAAACTTAGTCATTTCTTTTAATGATTTAAAGCTTATCCTCTGTACTTGGGCCAATCTGCCAGCGTTTACAAGAAGTAGTGTTTGTTTTACACTGGAGCTCTTCCTGTAAATACGCCTGCGTGATGTAACCACATCTCTTACTGTTTCAGCTGCCGAAGCATGAACTCCCTGTCTCTCTCCAACAGCATCCTGAAAAACGCCACCTCGCTGGCCTGCCTGCGACCCACAGAAAACGACCACAGAGAGTCCCGATATATAGAGCTGCTCTTAGAAAGCATAGATTTCCACAGTGGAGCCATCTGGCTTAGTCCAGTCTGTGCACGTCCTTGATGCACAACCACTGACTACAGTCTTTAATGTCCTCTGGTGCTTTACCCTGACTTCTAGACAACCTCAAAAAACAAAAACTCCCCAAGATTGCACTAGTTCCAATCCAGCAGGAAAAGTCTTATGTTCAGCAGCGTGAGGCACCACCAGGAAAACACTGTCACCCTGAGCCTCTTAAGCCTGGCTGGTGGGACACCTGTAAGTCTATTCAACTAAAGCAACTTAACGATAAAGGCTCGCACTTGGGCCAGTGTATGGATTAACAGCAACCTTCTGTCTCCTCTCCAACATAAGGAGCCATGTGGACGGCTGCTCGCGTGCTGCAGAGCTTCACGTGACCGAGTAAACTAATCAGTGCGACAGAGCTCTACACAGCGAGCTAATAACTTAGAGGGAGATCCAGTGATCACAGTGTTGCAGGTGCTGCAACAGGCTGGTGCTGTGTTGATCTGCAGGTTTAAAGGTTGGGATTTAGCCACTTTTTAAATGCTAAGTGCTGCAAAATATAAAATACTATGAGTAGTGCATTTCTCCAACAAGGCCCAAAAATCCTACACGATGTCATGTTCTTATAGTAGAAAAATAAAATAAAAACATCAGATCTGAATCTCATCTTAGTTGTATATATAACATAACATGAAAGTATCAAAGATTCCTCAACTCTGATCTCAGATATACAATCATGGTAGTTGCAGGTTTATCATTTGTCCAGACTCATTAATATCTAACTAAACGAAAAAATACACACTAACATCTAATGGATTCTTGTCAGGCCCAGGCCCCATCGTACTAAGTAAGCACAAACCTCCACCAAAGCTAACGCCCAATCTCGCCATGTCAAGGAAATAAAAATAAATCCTAGATCTGCCCTTCTTCCTTTGGTAGTGCCCCATCTCTCCACAACATTTCATGAAAGCGTGTGTTGTTGTTGTTTTAGCATAATCCTGCTCCCTCTGAATTAATGCAAACAGAACCTCCTTGGTGGAGGTCATGGTATATACTGTTTTTCATTGCCACTGTTAAATTAATCTTATCACCACTTCAAGTTGCGACAAATATTCTGTTTAACTCATTCATCACGGGGAAGTTAACTCACCTTAGGGCGAGCAGCTCATGGCCCGCTTTGTCATCATGGCTCTCTGCTCGGTCGCCTGTGTAAACATGTAAATGTAAATTGTGCGTATTGTTGATTTAAATATGTACAGTGTGTTGTCAAATGTAAATTATGTGTTTATGGTTGAGTCCTGTCAGAAGCCCAGTCTGCCACTTGGGACAGACAATAAGGTTCTTTCTGTCTTTCTATCTATCACAATAATATAAAGCTGTAAGACATGAAGTAGCTTTCTGTGTGTGAAGTAAAGGGGAAGACGTTTCTTACGTCCACTGATCTTGGTGACCACTCTTTGTGCCAGGGCAGAGCTCTGTGCCAGCTGCTCTCTGAAGCTCTGACCCATGTAGTAATCGATATCGTTCGCCCGCAGCAGCTCCTCGAAGGCCTGAACATTGTTGAGAATGTGAGCCAGAGCATTAATAATGAATTGTCTAATTAATGAATAGAGAACTGAATTAATTCAGAAGGAGCTTGCGTTACCTTAGTGGTGTCACCCAGGTGCTGGGTGAGGATATGGCAGACCCCCTGCCCCTCTCTCATCCTCTGCCTCAGGTGGGACAGCTCACGAGCTTGAGCCTGGATCAGAGTGTTGTATTTCCTGTAAAGGGAGGGAAAGCATTGGAGGAATGTTTTTCTAGGAATGTTTTCAGAGCACTACAGGCTTTCATTCTGGTAACCATGTGCTTCTGTTAACTTAATTCTAGATAAAATAAAGGGGTCTTGGGTTATTTATGCAGAGATTATTGATCCACCAGGGGTAAGAGATAATCCTCACAAGGCCCCGTCCCCACAGCCCTTTTGTCCCTGTCCACTCACCCTGGCCAGGTGGCACATTTCTCTTCTGCTTGGCCTTTCCCCTCCAGCCTGGAGCTCTTCAGTTGTGTCTCCAGTGACGCCACTCGTTCCATCAGCTCCTGTAGCTCCCTGCTGGGCTTGGACCCTGAGCGAATCCCTTGGGTGTCAGACATCCAGCCTTCATCCTCCTCCACAACGCTGGGGGCTGGTGATCTCTCAAAGGCCCAGTTTACCTAGAAGGTGAGGGTGAAATGACAAAAAAAAGCTTTATGAAGAATCAGTATTATTATAATCAGTGCTGCAGACCAGCTAATTAATGGTTTCATACCTTTCGGGGGGTGCGTTCCAGACTAGAAGCGTAGTCGCTGGTGGCAGACAGGGAGCGTACACGCAGCTGCAGCCCACGGATCACTTTATGGCAGCGGGTCAGCTGTGAGCGCAGATCCAGGACCAGATGTTGGAGAGAGGCCTCATCCCCCATTTCATAAGCTCTTCTGTCACTGCTGCAGTTCCCACTGTACCAGCCGCTGCCTGCACCCTCATAGTCCTGATGATGGGACAGTGATGTGCACATCTCCAGATCGTCAAACTCTGCAGGGCGGAGAAGTTATTAATGCATATTGAATGTGTACATTATACAGGAGGAAATGTTTGTTAGTTGTCATGTTTAAGAGAACATGTCCAGTTTTTTACCAGGGCTGCTGGTGTCTTCTCTTTCAGCTTCGTTCTCACTGCGACCACACGTCTCATACCCCAGATCCTGTAGATCCACCTGCACCTGTTTACTGGCTTGCTGCACCGACGTCTCGGCTGCGGAGAGAAACGACCAAAATCCTTAACACTTGCAAATGTTTGGCTGTGGTTTTGAACACTTGTAGTCCCTGTGTGTTACACTCACTGAGCAGATCTCTGTAGTCCTTCAGCTGTTCCGCCTGAGCGTGGACCGTGGCCTCAGACACCATCAGTCTCTCCTGCAGCTCTCTGTTCTCCTGGTGGCTCAGAGCCAGGTCCGAGTGCAGGCGGGCCGTCTGTTCCCCGAGACCCTCGTCGATATCCTGCCAGAGCGCTCCCACCTCGCTCCTGTCTCCATCAGGCTCCAACTGACATGTAAAACAGGAATGCAGTGGTGGGATAAAACGTGCATTTACATTATTACTGTACTTAAAAAGTTTGACGCCCATGAAATGAAAATTCAACTTTTAATCTCCAAGGGGTTAAGATGACACTCAACCAATTAGAGGTTGATGGGATGAAAGTGCTAGGAAGAGTTTGACTATAATACAATTCTAGCAGATTAAATAAATCTTCTGTCATGTCATTAGCTGCTCATATGAGTCAATTAAGCATTAAGCAGTTGTTATTTCCACCTATGGACATAAACTAATGTGGATTATATAAAGTACAATGTGTTACCTGGTGGGATGTCAACGTGCCGAGGTCCAGAGAGCATGGTCTGGTGCAGTGCCTCTTCCCTTGCTCCTCACTCACAAGAACACACGGAGGACCTCGCTTCTCGCCCGGCATCGAAGATGCTCCCTCCTCTTCATCTTCATCCTCCTCCTCAATGTCCTCCTCTTCGTCGTCCTCTTCCTCTTCTTCCCAGTTCAAACCCCTGTGACTCTCGTCTATGTTTGTCCTCAGTCCCAGGGCTCCAGCTCGTCCTTCTTTCAAAGCCTGGTTCTCCTCCCGCAGCTTCTGCACTGCACTCCTACAGTGGAAGATGGAAACCAAATATACTTCAACATATTGAAGCTTTCAGGCCAACACAACAAAGTTCTCAAAGACAATCAAAACAACTCTGAGACAAATCTGCACCTCATCTGGGCCACAGATGTGTATCCATCCCCCTTCAGTTGTGACCTTATTTCCTCAAGCTGGACTTCAAGTGTCTTCTTTTCTTCCTCGAGCTGCTTTAGATCAGCTCTTAGGGACAGTGAACGCCTCACCAGCCCTGGAGTCACAGCCTCGGCTTCATGAGATGCCACAGAAGCCTGAAGAGGGCAGAATGTATAAAATCAGATATTACTAAATCCGTGCTCATGCAAATATCAAAGTATTTTGCTGTGAAATGTAAACAGAAGCATTTTACCTGAATGAAGGACAAACTTCTCGCTGTTACTTTATCCTCATCCTCCTCTATGCTGTCTGTGAACTCGTCACTGCTGCCATCTTCATTGTCTCCTTCCTCCTCCTCCTCCTCTGTGCTGAGCTCTGGAAACACAAAAAACATATATTTTGCTTTTTGCACTTCAGACGATATCCTAATCAAATGTTTTTCTTCTTATTCTTGTACTTTTAAATCCCTCCTACTCTAGCGTTCACTCCCCGTCTCTCCACAGCTCTGTCTGTACTGGATCACCACTTTGGAAGTCATGGGACTGAAGGGAAATGTTATGTCATAGTGTGAGCCGGCCAAAAACAAAGTAGTGTGTGTGTGTGTGTATGTTCATGAAAAAGACTTTGAACTATTTAAACTGAAACATATGTATTGGATTTAAGATTCTATATCATTTACACAAAGGTTGGTAGTGTTTATGTGCCAAATCTAAAAATGAATATCACAAATTATTGTGTTTTGTGTTGTTAAACTCACACTCATGCAAAGAGCCAGTGAGGAAACACATAAATGGATGTTGGTTTGCTGCCAGGAAACAGAGGCTGGGTGGAAAGTGACGGGCAGGGCAAAGAAAAGTGTTTTACGTAATGCGCCGAAATGATACACAACAGACACACACACGCATGACATTACACATAGAGTTGCCATGGTGCAAGTGAATCATAGGTGTTTGGGTGTTTATTTTTGACTTAGTGAGTTTATTCATGATTGAGGAAAGTTTAAAAATACTGAAATTTAAATGTGAGAATTATCTTTGTGCTGATTGGGAGGGGACAGGAAACTTCTGGGTTATTATTGGTTGAACAATGACTGAACGTGGGGCCCTGTTAACACACTGTCATCGCTCTCATACCGCACACAAGTAGATGCGCACTGTGTCTGTTCATGCGTATGTCCTGTTATGTCAGGTGATAATTGAGTGAACGGGCTCACGTGAGCTTCCCCTTTATTTGTGAAATATCCTTTTTGTGTTGTGAACATCTAACTGGGCGTTACAGCAGAACAGCCATGCAAACATGAAAACCAAGCCACAATCTCATGCATGACATGAACGAAGAACACTTTGGATTGGACATGTGTTTACACATATAACATGAATTACTTGCAGAAATCTGACAAATTCAGATATTTCTGACAGTTGCATGTGACAATATTTCAAGCCATTTACAACGTGTGTTCCTACAGTCCCTAAAAAGATGTGACAGGATATTTGAGGAGAGAAACTGGGAGGCGGAGGAGGAGAAGACAAAATACAATGTGAGCTGATAACTGGAGAAATGGGGAAGGTGTGTCGAGGTGGGGGATTTCAGGGATTTCAGGTTTGGGATATTCTTAAAACAAATCCCCAAATAAACACAATAAAGAGAAATCTGACGAAAATGCCAGCACATGTTTATTTTGCATTTAAAATACAAAAAAAAGTGTTGACAAGGATTCCATCTTTGAGAGATCAGGACACAAATCCCAAGAAAATGCACTTTGCCTACTATAAATACTGAAAGAGCCAATGTTATTTCTGGCATTCACAGGTTGTAAAATAACTTATTTATATATATTACTGCCATCTTGGTATAAAGCTGAACTGAACCTCAACTAGCAGCTACAAACAATACACAGCATATTAACGTTAATTTAGAACAATGAGCACTTACCGACTAACTCAGACCTAAAGCGGCTGACTTAATGTTTCATGCATAACTGTCGGACTAAAATGTAACTACAGTAGGTTTACTGGAGAATGAAAGCAATCCAAGGTTAAGCTGAACTGAGGGAAACTACACTGCATACTGGTCCAGATTTGTATCTTAAGCGTGCACTTCCTATTCACGCACAGATGTAAAACAAATGATGGATGGTGAGACGTTTTCACTGTAAGGCATGAGTTTGTTGGAATCTCCACAAGACGTAACTTCACTGTGACGGTAAGGCTGGAAGAGTGACACCGGTGAGACAGTAACACACAACAATGGCAATACAGAACAGTCGCACTGCAAAAGCATTACGCAGGCAGTTTTCATCAAACAATGTAAAAACACCACACAACACAGAATATGTTAATAAATAAGAATCTGAGTTGCACATTGTCACTTCATAGCATTAAGGTTCATCTGTAGTGTTTGTGCTACCTGAACGAAGCTGTCTGCACACTGACGGTCCTGCTTTGATTTTCATTCACACTTTGAGCTTCACATGTTTTTCATAACACTGACCGTCAGTGGCTACAGGAAGCTTCTTCCCACATAAAGAGTGCTAGTGTCAGACAGAGCATCACAGAGCGTTAGTGACAGTGCCCCCTGTAGCCCCAGAGGCTCGACCCTGCCCATCCCCACCTCCAAAGTCGGGCTGCCGTTTGGCTGCCCTTTCCAGCACCAACGCCATGTTACGGGTCCTGGCCAGCACTTCCTCCAGCTGTCCACGGAGCGCCTGAACCGAGTCGAGCTCAGTGTGGAGGGCCTGCCTCGCCTCTGAGCTGCTGCCAGGTGGAGAAGATGAGAACAGAAAAGTGTCATGAGGGCAAAAGACATACTGCATTAAGAGTAAACTGTGATAAGAGCTGGGTGCAGCTGCCCTACCTGTCACTCTTGGTGTGCATGTGCATGAGATTTTGGTACAATCTCTTCTCTGCCCTCAGGGCATCGTTCAGCTTGTTGTACTCTGTCACAAGCTGCTCCAGCACACACTGAATCACATCGGCAGGCAGGGTGGAGGAGGAAGGACATGAAGAGTAAATGCACAACTCAGCACAAACCTCTAAATATCATCTGACTGAATAAAGAAAAAAATCCTACCTGGGGATCAGAGCTGTCTTTTGTGGCAACTCCTTCGACTTGCTGCTGAGCCAAAGATAAACGCAGAGCAGAGAGCTCCTCCTGCAAGAAGAGGACAAGACGGTATGACTTTTCTGATTTTCTGTCTCAGTAATTTAACTCAGTATCATTGTAAATCAGGGTCCCCCCCTCAGTGAAGTATAGATAAAGACAATATCTCAGGGTCCACGCAGATACCTGAGCCTCTCTCTCCTTCCTCAGTACCAGCTGCAGCTCCTCCTGGAGAGTCTTCATCTCTTCCTCACTCTCTTTAGAAGACAGCTGCATTGCCTCTTCCTGGCCCTGCATCAGCTTCTGTTGAATAAAGTACATTGTGAATTTCAGATATACAGGAAACAAGAGCAAGGGAATGCATGCGGGACTGATACCTTGATAAAGGCTTCCTTCTCTTTGAGCAGACTCTGCAGGTGCTCCATCTCTCCTCCTAACTCCCTCTCCTTGTCCCGCCTCACCTCGTGCAGCTCCTGCTCTCGTCGCAACATCTGTCTGCGTAGCTCCTGCAGCTGGCCGCTCCGCTCATTAATCACTAAGGACAGTCTGTAGGAGTAATCCTGAGAGAGACAGAGGGAAGCATTGAAGTTTTTCTAACTTATTTTAGTTCCACACAGTTTTATGCACAGTCACAGTGCATACCTGCAGATACTGGTCCTTGGAGCTGAGAGTGTTGAACAGATCCTGGACCCGCGCTTGGTGTTCATTAGACTGGCGGCTGCGGTCTGACAGCAGCTCCTGGAACAGTTTCTCTTTGAGTGTCAGCCGAGCCTTCAGCTCTTCCACAACCTCAGTGGGACCGGCCTGCACTCGGGCAACGAGGGCGGCTGTCAGATCCTGTACACGCACACACACACACACACACACACACATAAAATTAAAGTGAAAACAAGCAACACAGGTTTGTCTACCTGGGCTGGTTCTCTGCTTCGAAAATTGCACAGCAAACAAGTATTGTTAACAAAGGCTATAAAACTCTCTCTCACTCTGTGTGTGTGTGTGTGTGTGTGTGTGTGTGTGTGTGTGTGTGTGTGTGTGTGTGTTACCTGAGTCTCCTGGCTGCGGCTCTGCAGTGCCGCCTGCAGCTGGTTGATGATGGTCTCTTTTTCTCTCAGAGTGTTTCTCTCCTTCTCCTCACTCTGCTGCTTCAGCCACTGGAGGTTCCTGTAGGCCTCGGCCGCCTGCTCCAGCTCCAGCTCTTTAACTCGAACCAAACCGTCCAGACTCTAGTAGTCAAGATCACAGGTGTAACCACACAGACAGCAGGATCAGATCAGATACTGTGGGCAAAAAGACTAACCAACTAACCAACTGGACCCTGGCCATTAGCATAAACCAGCGGGTCTGATATCTTTGGGTGTAATGAGCGTACCGTGATGGTCTCTTCGTTGTTGGACAGGATGCAGCTCAGTCTCTCCAAGTCTCGCTCCTTCTCCCTGAGAGCCAGCTGCAGACTCCTCACCTGGGCCTCGCGCTCCTCCACACAGCGGAACTTGTCGTCAATGGAGCGCTGCAGAAAGCGAGAGGTATGGAAACTCACACCACTGCCTATTCTGCATCATTCATCATCTATGCATTGTTCACTTTTGAGGTTGACAGCAAAAATGAGCCATTATGAAAGATTCAATTGTTCTTTATTCATCACAAATTGATCAAATCAAAATTAAATTTTTTTTAAGGGAAAATGAGGACACTGTTCATGGTACATTTTATTATAAAATACCACAGTGCATTGTGTTCTCACATCTAAGCACTTCTCCACCACTGCTGTGTGGTTGCCACAGGATTTAAAAGGACAATAGTGATGTTTTCCCCCCGGTCTGTGGCGGAATTTTATGCTGACTCACTGCTTTGTGAGGGATTTTGCATAACTCTCTACCACCGGCTCTTTCTACAAAATGCACACTTTACTCTTTTCTCATGAAGAACCTTTATATTTTCCCATGAACCCCAGTCTATTGTACTGTGATCCACATGACACAGCAGTCTTCAGTATCATTGTGTATATGAATGTGTGTGTGTGTGTGTGTGTGTGTGTGTGTGTGTGT